TGTTCTGGAAAAAAAGGGAATTTTTACTTTTCCCCTCTTGGATAAATTATTACCCAAAGCTCTGCCAGAGCTCCTTTATTGCAGAGCTGCAGTGATTTGTAAGCAGCAGAATGACTGTCATTAAGTAGCTGCTCGAAAAGGCTTCACTGGATGCCATGGAGATGCTCCTCCCCTATAAACAGCTTCCATCCTTGCCATTGGTCCACTGATCTCCATGGAGAGCTCAATCACTTGCCAGTTTCATCTGCAGTTCTGCACAAACTTTTTTTGGCTTCCCCCTCTTTCCTGGTAAGTTGTTTGCGAATCTGAATGTTTAACCTCTCGAGGCCAGGAAGGAACACCCAGCTAAGGCTGGGCCCGGTGTATTGTTTAAGGGAACAGAGTTGTCGTGTGGGGCATCGCTCGGCGCTGATTTACGTGGGGTAGCAGCAAAAGAGGGGCCATGTGGGATTGCTGCTCTGAGTTTCATGAAGACAAATTAAAGTCCAGTTGAAGTAGCTCACAGACGCCCATTATTCATCTGGATGCTAAAGAAACTGCTGCCAAAAAAGCCCCAACTTGACAACCAGAATGATCGCTGCCCTGAAAAGAAGGGAACGATTCAAACCGTCGGCTCTTTGCTCCCTGGGGACAAATGTTGGGATCCCTCTGCCCAGTTAAATGCCATTTATCTGCCCGAGCAAGAGGGCTTCTTTCCCACTGCCTACTCTGTCTGCAGCTGGGAGAGCAGGCGAGGGGGAGGCAGCATTCCTATGCAGAGGACCCCCTCTCTCCTTGCTGTGGGAGGAATTAATAGCAAACCTGCCATGCGGCTAAGCATTCGGAGGCCCAATTCACCCCTGCAGCAGCCCTGTTGCAGTCAGTGGAGTGTACACCGGGGAGAAAACGGGCCCTTTTCCTCTTACCTGCCCAGGCACCATGAAACTGTGACCTCTGTGTAACCTGAAATAATTAGCTTGGGGAGCGGGGAGCTGAAGCGGGGGAGGGGGAAGAGGCTGACAGACCCCTCAATCAAAGGGATGGCTTGGTTCTTCCTTGATTTAATTAAGATGGCTCCAGTCACATTCCCCTATAATGACTCCTTGCCCCCTTCCCCCATAAGCCAGTTATTAGAAGTCCTTAATGAAAAGTACCCCCGCCCAATGGAGGAAAGCATGTTGCTCTCCACAGCACATTCCCCCAGCACAGCCAACATGGGTCAGGGGAGAGGTTTCTGTGCAGCGGGAACATGCCCCGAAGTCTAGCTCTGCCCCCTGGTTAGCTGGAGCTCTGAGGTGAACTTTAGTATGCCAGCGTCCGGCAAAGGCCCATAGCTCTGCCTCTGCACCTGGGCCCAGCCTCCCATGGGGCAGCAACATGACCGCACAGCATCCAGCTCAGCCCGCAGCCCAGGTTTTCCTTCAGCTGGAGAGCTGTGTCAAGGAAGTTCCCTGAATCACTGTGGAGATGCAGGCTGGTTAGTGCTGCTATCTGCTGGCCACCCCTTGCCACGTGACAGGGACCAGGCCTGTTTCCAATCGCTTCCTGCAACCAGAGGCCAACCACTCCAACACCGTACCACTGGGGCTTGCAAAGCAGCTTCCATACCAGAGCACCACACCGTGCGTCCTCGCCAGCCACGTGACACAGAGTCACACCAAGGATGGATCAGGCCCAACACGGTCCAAGACAAAGGTGATGGCTGCTATCTTGGCTGAGCCACAGGGAGCCTGCTGATTGACTATGAGCTGCTACTGATGGTTACAGACTTATACCATCCACAGAGCTGGCACAGGAGGGCCCTGATGCACCCTGCTCACTGGATGACACAGGCAAACTTTGGAGACTGCTATATGCCACGGTGGCCATGGGGCGAGGGGGAGGGGTTGCCACAGGAGCCACCTAGGCTGCTGCCCCCGTCAGGAAAATCAGAATAACATAATTTCCTTTCCTCCTTTGATTTTGCCAAATGAAGTGTCCCTGGGGGAAACCAGCTCTGATGCCCCAGACTTCCAGAGCAGCCCAGGAACAACCTTGGAGTGGCAGCTAAGACTTGAAACACCACCTTGCGATTGCCTAGGACCATCCACTTCAGATTCATGCCCAGGTCTTTGGACCAACCAAAGGGGAGTCCATTCAGCAGAGAATCCATCTCAGGTTTTACAATGAGCACAGCACATGCTGGGGCAGAACTTTGGGTGGGATGTCAATGCTCCTAGACTCATAGGACTGGAAGGCACCTCAAGAGATCAAGTCCCATCCTCTGCACTCCTGGCAGGACTCGGTATTATCTAGGCCATCCCTGAAAGGTGTTTGTCTAACCTGCTCTTAAAAACCTCAAGGCTATGTCTACGCTGGTGGCTTCTTGTGCAAGGGTTCTTGTGCAAGAAGTCTTGCACAAGAACTCGTTTCTTGCACAAGAACATGTCCACACTGCCATGTGAGAGATGTGCTTTTGCGCAACGGCATCTATGGCAGTGTGGATGCTCTCTTGCTCAAAAAAGCGCTGATGGCTGTTTTAGCCATAGGGGTTTCTTGCGCAAGAAACTCCTGCCGATTGTCCACACTGCCCTCTTGCGCAAGAGCTCCTGCTCAAGAGAGCTTACACCTGTTAGAAAAGAGTGTAGCTCTTGCGCAAGGAGCCCTCTCTTACCACGCCGTACTGTAAATCTTCTTGCACAAGAGCGGGCGGGCAGTGTGGACGCTCTGCGGATTCTTGCGCAAGAACCTGCCCGTGTAGACATAGCCCAAGAGATGGAGATTCCACCCCTTCACCTAAGCTCTTTCCTGTTTTTCCCATCCCTGGGCTCCCATGATCCAGTTCTACCAATCTAGCAAAAAGGGGGCATTACTGTGTGAACAAAGCATTGGCCGCTGCTGGTCTTCTAACCTCTGTGTTCCCAGAGAGCTGCTCCGGGAAGGGTTAGACCAGATAGTGGTTATTCCTACTGGTGCTGGCACTGGGGGACAGGGTTTGTGTGTGTGTGTTGGCGGGGGGGGGGGGGGGGGGAGGACTGAACACAGACACAAGAAGCGATGCAGACCTGACCAATAAAGCTCTTTGCTTATGCACTTCATTACTGAGTTGAGTTAGGGAACTCTCACAAACCCTTGGTCCTATTTTGTGGCATCTTGTAGCTTTTAGCACATGTCCTGCTAACAGTTTTCAAGTCTGCATAGTGTTTGGAATAGAGGTTTGCATGCTCTGGGAAAAATCACTCTGGGGTTTTAATAATAACTAGCGGAAGTGTCCTGTGCTGCTCTGGAAATTTGCCTCTGGTGGCATTGGGACATCACATAGACAGGGAGAGAGCCTGCGAGTGGCGGTTTTATTCTTCATCCAAATGCTACAGAAAATGATTTTCCTTTACGGCTCCATCAGAGACAACCCAAGAGCTTCCCCACAGCAGCTGCCTCATAGTCAGCAAGCAGGGTCGCTCACAGAGCCACTGAGGCTTTCCTTAAATCATGGGTTGCTTGTCTCCAGCCACCTCTGTGCTCCCAGCACAGCTCCCCTAAAGGCCACTCAGAATGAACCTACTCCCCCATAAAGATCCCTAATTCCTGGTGATTCTTCACTAGGAATCAGGGAGGCCATTAAACTTCCAGAGACCACGTGGGTTTGTTAGGCCAGGTCTACACTACAAACACCTCAGTATGACTATGTGTAAATCTCCTCCCCCCCACCTAATCCCCCCCCGCGTAGACAGCTCTGTCTTCCGAAGAACTCCTCCTCCCACCCTGACTCGCTACCACCTCATGGGGAGGTGAATTCGCTCAGTGCTTTGGCAGCCCTGTACATGAAGACAAGCCCTGAGTAAAGGCAGTGGCTCCTGTGGATTCCTGGCCAGTCATTACAGGTGACACTTCTCACCCTTACCCTGCATTAGCTCCATCCGTGTGAGGGAAGCCTTCCACTGAAGTTCATGGGAACTCACCTGTGGAATGGGTAACCGGTTAACTGGTTACATGATAAGCATAATCTTTAATGGACTAGCCAATAACCCATCATACAATGGGGTTTTTCAGGATTCTCCTCCATTTCTGTGTGTGTCTCTCTCTCCTCCTCCTGCCTCCCCCCTCTCTCTCAGCTCTCCTCCGCCTCCTGCCTCTCTCTCTATCTCTCTCTTTCTCTTCTCCTCCCCCTCCTGCCTCTCATCCGGGGGACCACAAAGCCCAAATGGCCGTTTGGGCACCATGCTCCCTGTGCTGCATGGGGAGCGCGGAACCCAAACGGTCGCTTGTGCCTCTTGCTCCCACGCAGCGGCCCGGTTGAGTGGCACAGAAGTCAGCTGAGCACCACAGTGGGGGGCGACGGGGGGGCGAGGCGGTGACGTTCACGGCCGGGGGCGGGGCCTGGAGCTGTTGTCACATTGCATGTCACCGCCCCACCCCCTTCACCTCCTGCCATGGTGCTCTGCTGACTTCTGTGCTGCTCAGCCAGGCCGCCGCTGGGGAGCAAGCGGCGGAAGCGGCCGTTTGGGATTCCCCGCGGCGGCCCGGCTGAGGGGTGCAGAAGTTAGCCAAGTGCCACGGCGGGAGGGGAAGGGGGGCAGGGCAGTGACGTACATGGCCAAGCCCCGCCCCCACGGGGGTGCTGCATAGGGACCGCGGCGCCCACATGGCTGCTTGCACCACTTGCTCCCCCGTGGCAGCCCAGCTGAGTGGCACAGAAGTCAGGCGAGCACCATGGCGGGACGCGAAGGACGTGACTGAGGCAAGAGCGCCGCCCAGAGGCAACAGCCAGAATTTAAGTTACAGAGTCTCAGACATTGGGCTACTATATATATGATGATGCCCAGCTTTAAAAAGAGACACAATGTTGATGCCACTCTAACTGGCTCACTCTCTCTCCCCCTAGTGATATGGCATTCCAGCCACAGGACAAGACTGGACATCAAAGAGAACTAGGCTCTTTTCTTTCACCTACCACAGGTTTTCTGGATGAC